GTAAACTTCCTTTTGCTTTATGGAAAACGTCCATATGTCTTCAATCACATATCCTCTTTCCTTTTCCAAGCTCATCAAGTCCACGCACATCACAAAACCCAAACTCCAGCTTAGCCCATCTTCATGACATACACACATGTACTACCTCCTGTAGTACTTCACGAACTGATACAGAACACCTCTGCAAACTGCATCTTCAGATCAAACATTACAAAGTGTCAGGAAAATCAAGCAAATGAATTATCAAGTGAAATGAGATTATACTCTTTGACCAGAAACTTCAGCTATCTCAGGTAGAGAAGCAGACAGCATGTGCTTCAGTTCGATAGCCACGAGTAAGTTCTCCATACGGTGCAAGATTGATGGTAGCAAAGATAACCAACTCCCAATATCTTTAGATAATCCAAATATCCTAAAGTCTAGAGTCCCAACCAATTTTTGAAAGGATTATTATACTGCTCTCTGGAGTCTGGAAAAATAACATTAAACTAAAAACAATCTCAAGCAACACAAAATAAAGCAGAATATATGACCTCCCTAAGAAACGATGCCATCGAACAATCAATGAATAATAGTAGTTTAGTAGTTTACGAATTATATATGCTTTCCAGGAACCTCATCAAGAGCAGTAGTAACAACCATAATCAGCATACCTGAAACTTCAAAGGCAATGGCACCTTTGACAACATGAGTGTCAACTTCATCAACCTCATCAAGAGCAGTAATGACCAGACCTCGCACACTCTCTTGCTTAAGCTTTGCTCTCAAATCTGTTAACTTCTCGGAGACAGAGCAGCCAGCAAACTCCAACGGATGAACAAGAACTGGATTCATCTCAGAAGGTGGACGTCTCTTCCAGACTTCAACCACAAGATCAGTTGTTGTCGGAAGACACATCCCAAGTTGATGACTTCTCATGATGACTGTGTCTATGAACAGAGGAAGGTCTCAACAAGTCGTACCTCTCGGCTAAGGAGCGATGTGAACGGTGGAAATCTTGGACCATAGCGACAAGCTCAGGCCTTTTCTTATAATACATCTCAGCTCTTGCGGAGAAAGAATCAGCATCCTCATCAATAACTCTCAGCATATCCTCTGTTTTTGCATCCAACTCTTCAAAATTACAACAACAAAAAAAGTCATCATGTCAAAATCTCTGTAAAGTTAAACACTTCTGTTAGTAAGAAAGTACTAAATTACAATTCATCTACTCAAATTCTCAATGAAATCAAACAGTTTTGGTCACCACTAGTCAAATATTGTAAGAAAGTTAATAGCTTTGGAAACCATAGACATTAGCAGAATCAAAATTGAGGAAATAGATGCTTTTTAATTCTTATCAGAACCTAGAAATAGAGAAAGAAGTGTTACCAGAGAGAGTAGAATGAAGCCATGGTGAGAAATTAGTGGTGTTGTGGTTTCCAATCCACCACCATTTTGATGACTCCATCACCATCTTTCACTCTTCTGAAAAAGCTTATCTCCATTCAAATACAACAAATAGAAAATACAAAGAGATTCTTCGGTTTACAAGCTTTCACTCACTCTTTGATTTTGTTTCATCTTTAAGAAAAACAAGAACAGAAGAAAGCAAAGTCGATAATTACCAACCTCGGTGACAATAATGAATATAAAAGAAGAGAAAGACCAACAATAATGAATGATTATGATCAAAGAGGAGAAAGAAAAATCATACCTCAACACAGAAGAAGAAGCACCGGAACTTGGAGACGGAGATGCAGCGATGAGATTTCTTTGTTGCTGTCACGTCAACAAGGATTGGCCTCATTTTAATCCTTAATTAGGGATTTATCCTTAACTTTTTTAGGTTTTATATTAATATTATATTTGATTTGACTAAGGATTCAAGCCTAAGACCATCCGCATTGGGAGGTTTAGACACAAACTCCTAGAAAAAAAAAATATTATAATAAGTTAAAGTGTTGAACCCCAGTATTTGCAGGTTCACGGGGAAGAGGCGTTAACATGTGAGGTTCATCACGTGTTGAGACAAGATTTGTCCTATTATTAATTTTTTTTTTTCTTTTTTGGAAAAATAAAGAGAAAAAAATAGAAAAGTGACCAGGTGGCAAACCCCACCCCGGTTTGCTGATGCTGATGGTCTAAGGATTTTTTTTTCTACAGTTGCACATGGTCACACATAGATATTTTCTATAATGTTTTTAAACATCAATCATCTATATGTGTGACAGTTTTGGTCCACATATTATTACAAAAGAAAAAAGAAAACTTCGACCGTTACCTGCTATTTGACAACAACAAAAAAACACAGTGAGGTCCAAAAAGACCAAAAAAGCCCCACACTAAATTACAAGCGGGTTTAGCTGTTAGGTTAAGGGTTTGTACCGGAAATCATAAAAGCTAATATAAACCTCTTCAAAAACCGAAACGTCGGTCTAATAGTAGATACAAACCAGCGGCTGCCCCAAAAAGGATATAGAGAGAATGACCACAAGCAAAGCCGTTACGATGACGCCACGTGGCATCAATTTTAGGCGTCTACATATAAACTAGGTGTGTTTGCCCGCCATGCGGGCTTAAGCCTTTTATAATTATTTGTTAGTAAATATATTAATAATAAAAAATAGAAGCATAAATTATTATTTGTGTTTTCATTTTGAAATTTTTTATTTATCTTAAAAATTATGCAATATTATCTTTTCACTTATATAAAATTAAGAATTTTAATTAATTAATATGTAATTGTTTGTTTTATGCTTTTAAATTTTTAAATATTTTATCAAAAGATAGTTTTTGGATAACAATACAATATATATAGGAATTATTTTTTAAAAATAAAATATATTTTTAGATTTTGGATAACTCTTATTCTTATTATTTAAAATAAGTTATCTAATTAAATAAATTTAAATTCTTTTTATATTTAATTAATTCATATAATTAATTAATTAATATGTAATTATTTGTTTTCTGCTTTTGAATTTTTAAATATTTTATCAAAAGATAGTTTTCGGATAACAATACAATATATATAGTAATTATCTTTTAAAAATAAAATATATTTTTAGATTTTGGATAACTCTTATTGTTATTATTTAAAATAACTATCTAATTAAATAAATTTAAATTCGTTTTTATATTTAATTAATTCATATAATTTATTCATTAATGGTATAAACGATATTAACTAACTCCAACTTTTAACGTGATAGTTCCGTTGCGAAAAATCACTTCGCAAATAATAGTATAGATAAATATCGCATTGTCTCTACTCTCTGCTCTCACATTTTTTCTCATCGTTTCTTGCGTAGAAAACAAAAAACATGGATAGCGATACACTCACCGGACTGTTGAAGAAAGTCGCCGAGAAATTCCCCGATCGACGAGCTCTCTCCGTTTCCGGAAAATTCGATCTCACTCACTCGCGTCTCAACGATCTAATCGAACGCGCCGCTTCACGCCTCGTCTCCTCCGCCGGAATCAAGCCTGGCGATGTGGTCGCTCTCACTTTCCCCAACACCGTCGAGGTAACTTCACGCGCCGCTTCTTTAGATTTTTTCATGCTGAGAATACTAAAATCGCTTCTTACTTGAGATATTTTGAGTTTCAGATTTAGAATTAATTTTTATTTATTTATTTTGTGTTTCCTAGTTTGTTATTATGTTCTTGGCGGTTATAAGAGCTCGTGCCACGGCGGCACCATTAAACGCAGCGTACACAGCTGAGGAATTCGAGTTTTACCTCTCCGATTCAGATTCAAAGCTGTTACTAACCGCTAAAGAAGGCAACGCACCTGCTCAAGAAGCAGCTTCGAAGCTGAAAATCTCTCACGTCACCGCCACACTCCTCGACGCCGGCTCCGACCTTACTCTCTCCGTGGCAGATTCTGATTCTGTAGCTGACTCGGCGTCGGGACTCGTTAACAGCCCCGACGATCCGGCTCTCTTCCTCCACACTTCCGGCACCACGAGCCGTCCCAAGGGTGTACCGCTCACGCAGCTGAATCTTGCATCGTCCGTAAAGAACATTATATCGGTTTACAAACTTACGGAGGCTGATTCGACGGTGATTGTTCTCCCTCTGTTCCACGTTCATGGATTGATGGCAGGATTGCTTAGCTCGCTTGGAGCTGGCGCGGCTGTGACTCTCCCAGCTGCTGGTAGATTCTCTGCGACGACGTTTTGGGCTGACATGAAGAAGTATGACGCTACGTGGTATACTGCTGTTCCCACTATTCATCAGATCATATTGGACCGTCACGCGAGCCAACCTGAGTCGGAGTATCCTAAACTTCGGTTCATCAGGAGTTGCAGTGCTTCTTTGGCTCCGGTAAGGCAATGTTTTGATGCTTTTGTAAATTCATACAGAACATATTTTTCAACAACCTATTTGGCTTGGTTTTGGTCAGGTGATATTGTCTAGGCTTGAGGAAGCTTTTGGAGCACCGGTTCTAGAGGCGTATGCTATGACAGAGGCAACTCACTTGATGAGTTCTAATCCTCTTCCGGAGGAAGGTCCACACAAGCCTGGGTCTGTTGGGAAGCCAGTGGGTCAAGAAATGGCGATTCTTAATGAGAAAGGGGAGATACAGGAGCCAAACAGCAAGGGAGAGGTTTGTATAAGAGGTCCAAATGTGACTAAGGGTTACAAGAACAACCCGGAGGCAAACAAGGCAGGTTTCGAGTTTGGGTGGTTCCACACAGGTGATATTGGTTACTTTGATTCCGATGGGTATTTGCATCTGGTGGGTCGGATCAAAGAGCTTATTAACCGTGGAGGTAAGTGTCGTTTTACTTTTATGTGATGGCTTTACTGTTCCACAAAACTACTAGTCTATGTCAAACAGTTTATAGAAGAATCAAATCAATCTCTGTATAATAGTCTCGGTGGGGTGATTACTGATTAGACTTGTCAAAGAAAAACGCCAAACGAATAAGAACCTAGAAAAGATGTGTTTGTAGAAACTAGTCAACGAAAGAGGCTTTTTGTGTGCAGTACTTTGCCTATTACTTAAGAATTTGAATCTCTGTTTCAGGTGAGAAGATATCCCCAATTGAAGTGGATTCAGTGCTCTTAACTCACCCTGATGTTTCTCAAGGAGTTGCGTTCGGGGTTCCTGATGAGAAATATGGCGAAGAGGTAAGCAAAACCCATGCTTAAGTTCCTCTATTATTACACAGTATAGATTATACAGATAGTTTGAACTTATGAATTGGTCTACCCTTATCTACCATAATTGTCCTGCTTAAACATCATAAAAATTATGCGAACTTGCACCATAAATGTGTAGATACATGTTTAGATCGGTTAATAACATAGTATTTTTCTTCCTGGTTTGGTGGTTGATCAGATTAACTGTGCGGTGATTCCAAGAGAAGGAACAACTGTGACCGAAGAAGACATTAAAACGTTCTGTAAGAAGAACTTGGCAGCTTTCAAGGTGCCAAAGAGAGTATTCATCACTGATAACCTCCCCAAAACCGCCTCCGGTAAGATTCAGCGCCGTATCGTCGCCCAGCATTTCCTCGAAAAAGCCTAAATTAAACACAATCCATCATCTTGCTGGAATCCTATGTGCGGGGAGTCTTAGTTTTTCACGCAAGTGGTTGTACTGTCTGTATTTGTTCATGCGTCTTATGTTACTTTGCACGTGTTCTCATGGTTAAAAGTGAACATGATGGTTAAAGGTATAGTCGAACTACAAAAGTGGAAATAAATTTGAAAAAGAGTTTTTCAAGTATTGTAGAGAGTTTATTTCTATTGTTTTTTCTCTCTTTTCCTCAGTGCTATGTTTGTTAAGAATAAAAGATGCTTTTGAACTAGTGCATCTTGGCCAATGTGACAACTAACTAAAAGCGTACTGCCAAAACGGATACATCCAAGGAAAAGACCAATGCGCTTTTGATCTTATCAACATAAAAAATGACACGCACTTCTCGAAAATTGATTAAAACGTTATAGTTCTTCTCAAGATACTGTTTTTATATAAAAATTATGCTACCATCTTCTTTGCAAGAGAATAGCTGTTTTACGTTTGATACATTTTTAACATTTAAAATGTTAAAAGTGCTACAGCTACATTCCAAAAGATATTCCGTTAACAATCTTCATGACAGAAAACATTCACGGGTTATATGCAAGCAAATGCATTTTTCTCTACACAAACAAAACTGTTAATGCGAAACTAATTTTACGAACGGGTCTGGTTCTGCTTCCTCCAGTACTTACTCTCCCACTGTTCGATTCTTCTAGTCGTGCTCTGCCTCCTTTTCAGAACCGAGAAAAACGACGCTGGATCATAAGGAGGCGGCATGGTGCAGGGACCAGTCTCTGCAGGGTGTTTCACCAGTGACTCCATCATAAATTTCCGCTCATTCCCATCCCTCGGGCAAGCCATTGTCTCTGAGCAAAGCTCGGTGGAGTTCTTGGGAATCTCGGGTTTAAACCGGAGGAGTTTAGAGTATTGGGTTAAGAGATGGTACATGTAGTCGTACACATAGTCCATCTTGAGTTCTTGTTGCACAAACTCACTTGCCTTCTTTCCTATGTCTTGTGCCTAGTGAGAAACACAAAACCGCCAGAAAAATACTTGGAACCGATATTCAATCAAACATTAACCAATGTGTGTATGTTGAAGACATGTGTGTTTGTGTGTGTAAGTAATGTCTTACCTTCAGCGTGTGCTGGTTGCCCCAATCGACAGCGAATTTAATGGAGCGGCACTTGTCATCTTCCTTAACGGGCCAATAGTGTTGACCCGGTAACATACCTCGTGTGAAGAAATCGTAGTAATGAGGGTTCACCAGCAATGTCACTGCATCACAAGCCAGAATGTACTTCTCGCTCACCGACCAAGCAGACCCTTCTATGTAAATCTTGTATCTGCATAACAAGATTCTTGCATAAGCCATGCAAAAGGTTTCTCTATTAGAGTTTACGTGCTATTTACCTGTGATGGCATTGGCTAGCCAAGGCTGACTGCTTGTAACCTTCCTTTGATTCCTTGGCCCAGTCCTATAATGAACTCACCAAGATAAAGAAACGTAGAGAAATACTATCTTAACATGGACAACTCCTAACTTTTGCATCATAGTACATCAACTAGTAAGAACTAAACCAACAATTTCAACAATGGTTTAACAACCTCTGTTAACGAAACTAGCGTAGATCAATACATACATAGCTGCTAATGTTACTGCAGTAATAAGCGATTAAATACTAATGTTCGGAGAGTCATATCAATGTCAACAAGATGCCGACACAGCTCATACTCAAGTTGCTAAAACCTATAAGATAACACACCACTAGATTCCGCTTAGAACCAATCTCTTTAAGTAGTTGAATCATAGAACAAGAACAGTTTGAGAACAGTAAAAAATTCAATCACCTGTTGGTACAAACGAGCTTTCCAGTCATACTCCTCGGAGACATTACACTTCATGAGATCCAGTCTTGTATCAGCGACAGTTGGATTCCCTTTCCAGTAAGCATAAGGCTCTCTGTCTACCCATTTGCTCCTCTGGTTACCTTCCTTGAGTTCTTTCAACAGACTCTCCCACGGCTTTATATTCACCTCAGCCCTGCAAAAAAAATAAACAATGCAACTCTCTTGAAACCTCTCTAAACAACTCTCACTAGTCCTGAGCAGATTATCCCGAACCCGAAAACCGAACCAGAACGGAAAAAACAAACCCGAAAATACTTTTAATTCGGTTTCATTCGGGTTTTATACAAAACTAGAAACCCAACCCAAACCCGACATTAACCGAAACCAACCCGAGCTGAAAAGTGAAAACCCAAATGCCAAGCACTAACTCTCACAGTCACACAGCTATTTCTCAAGCTACAAGTTACTATGGGGTTTCAATTGTCAAATCCAAAAACTAATGGGGTCAAATTACAAAACCCTAAAAGATATAGGTTGTTCGAAAAAAGAAGAAGAAGCGTTTTACCATCCCCAATAAGACCAATCAGGAAACACGATGTCAAGCGTCTCGTTGTTCCCACAGTAACGGAACAACGGCGGAGGCGTTAAATGCTCAACCCCAGCGAACTCCGCCGCCTTCACAACCGGCCAGTCAACGCAGTCAAACATCAGCTCGAGATCCGGAATCTTTCCCGGATACCTCCTCAGAAGCTGTATGAATCCCCATATAGTGAACACATCTCTCGTCTGAAAAGCCTCACGTAACTTCTCGACGTAGATCCTCCCGTCGACGATCGCTAACCGGAAGTTCGCCGTCGCATTGGCGCGCTCCAACGCTTCCCTCGTGATTCCTGTCTTCTCCCAGGGACGTAGATCCTCGTGGATCCAGCGGAAGTAGTCGGGACACGTGGCGGCGGGCGTAGATCGTCCGGAGTCATCTTCTCTGGCGCCGGGAAGGAAGCTCGTCGGGTAGTTGTCCCTAGGACAAGTTAGAGTAGCGTTGTCGGAGAAAGTGGGGCAGTTTAGTTTGAACTCCTTTGGCTTTTCCGTAATTAGCTTAGTCGATTGAGGGTATTTTGGGGATTCGCCGATTTTAAGGGTCTCCGTCACTATCGCAGTTTCTTTCGCTATTAACACCTACAAAAAAGAAGGTTAATTAACTGAGTCGTTTTTTTGTAAATTGCGGTGGACAGTTATTAACTAAAACTAATCACGTGATAAAGGTCCCATGTAGACACGTGTCGAACTGTCCGTAACTTTGTTTGACTGAAGTAATGATGACACGAGAAATCTGACGCCACCAATAGCAAGTTCCACGTGGCGATATTGCTTAAACAAAAAAGCACCCAGGCGAAAACGACATAACCGGAGTGTCGTTTTGAAGTAGAAAGAAACAGAACATTTACACAAAAGAATGAATGTAATAAAAATGTGCATACGGAGGGATCGAGGAGGAGGCGCGTGGTGACGAAAACGCCGAGGAGGAGGAAGAGGAAGAAGGAGAAGAAAGCGTAGGATCTGCTCGAAGCTCCGGCGCCGGATTTGACGAGGGGAGACAAGATGGTGTCGAAATGACGAGAGTGCCCTCCCGATGACCCATACGACGGCGAGTTTCTCATCGTACCTCCTTGCTGCTGCATGCCCAACAACGTGAAATCGAAAAATGAAGAAAAGAGAGAGATCACAGATCTTTGAGGAGAGGGAGATAAAGGAGAATTTTTTTGTGAGGAAAAACGATAGGACAGGTTGCAGAATAATGTGAACTAAAACAAGAAAGGGGTGGTTTGATTAATTATTAATTTTTCAATGTTTGGAAGAAGTCGAGGGTGTGCACCTCAAAAATGCCTAAAGTTTTAAAGCTTCTTTGTTCTAGTAGTTTTTTTTTTTTTCTCGGTTGTCTCGTTTCACAATGTTGGTTATTTATTTGAAAAATAATGATTTGCATTACATATGGTTTGACCAAAAAAAAAAAAAAAAAGATTTGCATTACAATGTGATATACAAAAATAGCGGTTAGACGAATAAGTAACTCAATCTTGTTAAAGTTCTAAGTGATTAAGGCCTAGTTTAAGGCCGAGTTACAAAACTAAGCCCAAGCCCAAAATATAGGTATCTTATCGTAAGTGTCAAAACCAATCACATACAAAGTTTCCCGGTGTGGTTCATATATGAACGAACATCAATAAAAAAGTGGCGACAACTAACAAAGCCGAGAATTGATTTTGGACCACAATCAAGTACATTAGAGCACATGTGATTTCGAGTAAATGGGGACCCTTTTGTTTATCCCCTTTTTCAAGTGCCTTGTTCTGCATCCTACTGTCGACGATCTGGTTACGACATGAGTGACATTTGCAGATATATAGAGCTGTCCTGGTCGGAGTTTACTGCTCAATAAAGGGTTTAACGGAAGCCTGATACATCACTATTGTATACAAAAGTGTTTATTAGATGAGATCTTTTGAATCGTTGGATGAGGAAAATCAGATTTTTCAAAGTTAATGGATTAATATTAGGTGTCGTGAACTTTTGGGATATATATGGTGTCTTCAATTGCGGATTGTCAATACAAACGGTTACATATATCATAATCTTTGGGTCGTCTTAGTTAAATGGAAACATAATGATTGAGAAGAGGCAAATAAAAGAATTGTGGTTGATAAAATCTTTTTAGGAGTGCCCTCTTTTGACAATTTTGAATTAAAGCTCTTAATAACTGTATCATGTCCCTACCTTAATCACACCTCTACATCAAAAATCAGACTACGCTCTCACCTTTGACATGTACCTTATTTCCTTTCACAATATTATTTCACAGAGCTATATTCAATAAGATATAAATGAAAGTCAAGTATCTAAATTCGAAAAGAGTTTGCTATTCGTTGGTTGTATTGCTCAGAAACGCTCGATCTTTGATGTTTACTGTCTTTATCGAACAACAATTTAATGATTCACTAGATTTTGAACCCGCACATCCGTGCGGGTATTTTTTCATTTTATAAAAATATAACAAAACTTTTCAAATATATATGGTTTATATTCTATTGTTATATATTGTATAATTTTATATTTTTAATTATTTTTATGTAACATATTGTTGTAAGTTTTAAAATAAAAAAATATTTATATATAATTTATTATATAATGTATTTGTTGTGAGTTACAAAAATATACGTTAACATTTTTTGTAAAAAAATGTTCTATGATTTAAAAACTTTAATATGTTTTAAAAGGGAGTGATATTTATTTATTTATTTGAATAAAAGAAATTTTTTTTAAAAAAATATTTTCCTTTTACCAGTTTAATATATTTTATATTCATTTCACATAGCATTTTATTTTAATATAATATAGAATATAACTAAATTATAAAATATAACAATTTTTATTTTAATTAACAGTAATATAGATATTTATATATATTAATCATGAAATTAAATAATGCATATTTTCTAAAAATATTTAAATTTCTTAGTAAGATCTTGTTAGATATTTTCTCAACAAATTTATTACTAATATCTTATTAATTATTAAAATATTCCTCCAATTATATATATTTGATTGATTAGTATAAATAATCAAATATATCATATTAATGAAATAGTCCAACATGACTTTTTTGTAGTAGATGTAAATGGTACTTCTCTTTTAATAGAGAAGATAACGCCTCCAACTCCAAGAAGTTGCATATATATAGTTTAATAGATTTAATAAACCAAAAGATAATATAGTTTATAGGTGTCTAGACTTTTGTTATTTTTCTAATTGAGATTTCTCAATTATTTCAATGCCATTATTTCGTTTTTAAATTATATATATAAACATGATAAGATTTGAAATAAGAAAGTGAAGGGTTCACAAATAATATCTTCTTTATAGTAGGGACTGATTCTATTATCAACTTCGACTAACAATTTAGCGTTTAAAGTTGGCGGTGCCATATTATTCATGTAGGGCATGTACATGATACATCCATATAAACTGGATACATTTAAATGAAGTGATGGTGCCTAAATGGTTGTGGATATGCGCTGGGTAAATACTTACAACTGTAAAATTGTGAGTCTGTTTAGTCCATTTATCAAATGATTGTTTTGACTCGGACTGGTTACTATACTTGCGGTTCTTGATTCGAGTTTCTAAAACTCTAGCTAATATTGAGTGACAAAGAAAAATGCAGGTTAATATTACAAGTGACTTGAAGAGAGTGAGAGCGATATGATTTGGATGGCAGAGAAGAAATCCTAAAGGCAAAAAGCTCACGCCTTTTATCTTACTATTTCACGCGTGCTGTGTTCTTCCCTTGTCTCCCCATTTCACAACCCAAGAACCCTTTCTATAATAACCAATACTATAGTAAAATATCATCAACATAAAAGTTTAAATTATTTTACGTTTGCACACATACATAATGTACCTATATATATGCATACACAATATGGAGCCTTTATACTCTGTTTCCTTCTCTATAACCGAGTACGCTTGGAAGGAGTTCTTTCCCCTAAAAAATTGAGTTTGAATAGAGTTTGTAAGCATGTCGGTGAGTATCTACTCCACACCTATCTTGTTTCTTATTCTCCTTCGTTTTACAGATAGTTCGATGTGTATATATAGAGGCATAAATCGCTATAACTAAAGATATATGAGTGTTTTATAAATGAGTTGTGTGTTGTAGATGACAGTAGAGATAAGAGTTCCAAACTTGGATTGTGAAGGATGTGCTTCTAAGCTTAAGAAGACTCTACTCAAGCTCAAAGGTATTGAAAGCTTTTGAGTTTTAATCAAAATCTTATTCTGCTTAGTTCATTTCTAAGTATGAGTGCTTACTCATTCTAATAGTTCTTCTTGTTGGTTTTGATTAATTTCAGATTTCCTTTTAGAATCTTAATAACCAAAGTAAAACTAAATATAACATGAATTGCATTATGCATGCAACTATACTTAAGTTGTGTAAGGTTTTCCTCGTTTGCATTGAATATTTGTGCTTGAACTTGGCTAAAAAAAATTCTTTTCAGCCAAACTAAGAACTGGTTTGGTTTGGTTTGGTTTGGTTTGAATGATGTTATACATGCAGGAGTGGAAGAAGTGGAAGTAGAGATGGAAAGCCAAAAAGTGACGGCTCGAGGATACAGGTTAGAGGAGAAGAAAGTATTGAAAGCTGTACGGCGGGCCGGTAAGGCAGCTGAACCGTGGCCATACCGCTTAGGTAATAGCCACTTTGCGTCTTTCTATAAATATCCATCTTATGTGACCAACCACTATTACTCCGATGCCCACCGAACCGATCCCACCGGTGGTGTTCACACTTTCTTCCACACTCCGGCCGTTTACTCTGTTGCCGTGGCCGGCGATGAGATCGCAGCTTCGATGTTCAGTGATGATAATCCACATGCTTGTACCATTATGTAATCTATTTTTTCTATATGTACACGAATATGTTTTCTTTGCACCTTCTTAAAACCGAGTGATTCCAAACCCAAACCGTAACGGGAACTATCTCTGGTACACGTGCTATTCAAGGAATTTACCGTGGCCAGCTGCCCAAAACAGACTTTTTCATCTTTTGTCCAGATTTGGTTTTGATTTTGAGTTTCTTTTTTCAATTTGTATTGAGGAAGTAAATCTAAAACTACTTGTTATACTTCTCGTTTTATATAGAATTTCTCCAAAATGAAACTTTGTGTATTTCTTTTTATTTATTTGTGATATTCATAACTATAATCAACACTGTCAGACGAATTATAAACAAAAAATTAGAAGAAAATAAATTAATTTTATTAGAAAACGGTATAAGAAACGTTTACAATTCAGTTTCATGTTTCACTACTATTTTTATTTTTTCTTCACTACTATTATTGCATATCAAACAGAACACTTCTTCAAGACAACACTCTCAATCGGAATCAAATCAGACGGAAACATACAGTCAACATTCTTCCCCAAAGTTTTCTTCTCCGGCAACAAACTACACGGCTCCGGCTTAACTCCGCTCGAAACTCCAGCAACATTCGTGCAGTTCCATTGCACTTTCTTAGGCTTAGCTGCCAAAGTTATATCCACATTCGAAATACAAATACCCGTAAACGGATCTTTATCAATCCCAGCGAGACTAGCCGACATGGTAACGTTCTCTGCCGTCATATTACTGAAGTTGATGTTAGAAACTTCTGGCAACGCCTTGGGATCGTACCCTTCATCAGGGTGCTGGTTGTAGTTTCCACTCATCCAGAAAACGTATTTCATTGTCTTCATAGTGATCCTCCTTGCGTAAATGTCCTTTACGTAAGCGCCACGTCCCGCAGCGGTTTTGATTCTGATGGATGATTCAGTGTTGATGAGTGTCACGTCTTCAATTCTGACGTCTTTGATTCCTCCAGACATCTCGCTTCCTAAGGCTATTCCTGCGCTTTTTGGGGAGATGCATGTGAGCCGTCGGATCGAGAGTTGTTGTGACGGCATTCCGAACTTGATTCCGTATTGGTCCCAACCACTTTTGACGGCGATGCAGTCGTCTCCGGAGACTATGTAACAGTCTTCGATCAATGTGTTGGTGCATGAATCTGAAAAAGACCAAACAATAAACAATGCCACATTTGATATTACCACGCGCGATACTATTGCCACATTTGATATTATGTTTTTTTGGGTTCTTGTATTATCGCTTTAATAAGTTGCTAAGCAATATGTAAAATTCTTGAAAGTTGTATGAAATTCAACATGATATTACGTACCAGGATTGATTCCATCGGTGTTGGGGACAGTGACAGGAGCGATAATGGTGATTGATTTGACCATGACGTTCTCACAGTAAACGGGATGAATATGCCATGAGGGAGAATCGACCAAAGTGATGTTGGAGATTTGAATATTTTTGGAGAACAAAAGCTCGATCATATACGGTCTAGTCACCTTAAACTGCTTCTTTTTGAATTTATCCCACCAATACTGTCCCTGTCCGTTGATTGTCCCGTTGTTACCTATAATCAATTAGAGTCCAAGTTTGATATATCAGTACTGTCGGATTTGGTTTACGGTGTGAGCCGGAAATTTATTGTGATTGTGTTAGAAAATTACCGGTTATAACCACGTCCGTTAGGTTTGTACCGGAGATGAGACTGTTGAATCTCCCACTTCCTGTTCCATCTCTTCCTTTTCCGTACGAGGGCAAGGGAGTAACCACTGGCCATTCAGATTCATCCTGTTGTTTGTCAAAACCGGAATCGGTAACATAGTATTTACATTAAAACGTCATGGATCGAACATAACCAATACATGCCAAAACAGAAACTAATATAAAAGCAAGATCTTCTAAAAAAAATTTTTTCCTTGAAGATATATTTACGATACTATAACATTAATGTTATAAATCTTCTAGATTTTCAACATTAATTTGGTTAGTATTTTCTTCTGTAATTAGAACTTAGAACAAAACCCTATAGTTTTGGACCTTTGATCTATAGGACCTTATACAACATATAGTTAGTTACCTGAGATGCAAGGATCGTGGCACCGTGTTGGATGAACAAAGTGAAGTGGCTGGTTAGGTTAAAACTTCCGGTGAGCCATTTTCCAGGAGGAACTACGAGTTGAGCTCCTCCGTCGCTTGCCAATTGGCTGAGCTTGCTTATGGCCGTGTTGAACGCTTTGGTATTAGATGTTTTTCCATCTCCAACTCCTCCAAAATCAGTTATGACTGCCTTGTGTTTCCGGCAATTCAATGCAGAAAACTCAATCCCGGAACTCACCAAGCGATGGTGGTTACGTGATTCAATCGCCAGAAAACAGAATGTAGCCAAAACGGCTAGTATACCAAGAACTCCCCTAATCATCTACACAAAATAATAGAAACATGCAAGAAGACGATTAATATTGAAGAAGATGTTGGATATGAAGATTTTTTTTTTCTTTCTGAAACACTTTTTTGATTCACATATATAAATATTTTTCAAATTAATATTTTCTTAAGAATATTCAACATTTTATTGTTTAGATGATTTTGATAGAACCAAATACTATAGTAACTACGCAATATTCATCATCTAAATAGCGGTTTAAAATAGACATTAGTGGATATATAAAACTATACGAACTATTGATAGAAAATATATAACAGTGTTTCTCGAAGAAGAACTTTTCTTTACCTTGAGATATTTCAAGTATCAAAGGAAAAATGATAAAACCGAAGGTCTTCCTTCTGATTTGATTGTTAGTGGAAAAATAGAATACAGAAGAGTAATATTTATACATTTCAAAAAGAAAAAATAAATGTCAAATAAGGATAATTTAATATATAGTCACTTTTTCAATTATTGAAATCACGTAGATAACTATTGAATCAATTGTGATATTGTAACTTGACAAATTTGCTTATAAAATATCTTAAATGTCTAAACAAGGAAGTAAATATTGAAACGCCCTATATATATATCTTCAATATAATACATTTATATCCATGATACTATTCTATAGTTGACCTCATATACATTATTGGGAAAAGTAAGTACAGTACTCTCACTATTGGCCTAATTCTTAACATCTTTACATTTTAACTACTAGATTTAAAGATATATGTTATTAAATGTTAGATTTTATACCTTTGACTACGAGATTTTAAGTTTAACTTATTGACTATTTAGAAGTATCCTATATATAAATATATATATATATATATATATATATATATTTGGTGGAAAATATTATGCATTTTATTGAATTAATCTGCTTGTTATTCACAGTTATATTTTTGGATTATAACTGCTTGCACAAAAAAAAAACTATTTCTGAAATCTTTGACAAAACAATTTATTTTAAATTAATACAAAAAAATAAAGTGATTTTTCAAATATAACTCAAAATTTGATTTGAAATGTAAAAGTAGACTATTTATTCAGTCAAATGGAAAAGTAACATAAATGGTTAGTAAAATTATCTCTTACATCTTATGACCCAAAAAACAGAAAATTATTTTATGATTACGTTTTTCCGAAATAGAAACTTAACAGAGAACTTTATGACTACTTTGTAATTTGATCTATTATTTTCATTTAATATATGTAAATAATAATGGTTTATTTACAAAATTAGTCATAAAGCATCAATATATGAACAAATATTAAGTATATAAATTAAAATTTAATACAATTGAACAATATTAAAGAATTAATATAGTTTGATTTGCTAACCATGTTTACACAATGTTTATATGGGTTGGTTTACATTGGGTTACAAGATGTATATATTTCTAGGATTGTACATATTGAGATGTATATATTTTACAAGAATTTAATATTTTCTACAACGATTAATCAAATATTTTTGGGAAATTTGCCAAAAAGGGACAAAAAAATTAACATATTGTCCCCTTAGAATTATTCTTGAGATTTTTTTCCACTTAGTATAAACAATAATGATAATCCCATTTTATCCTTCGTATTAGACCCAAAATGTGTATCAAATATATTATTATTATTTAGTTCTCTCTCTCTCCTCTCTCTAGAGAGAGGAAATCCTCTCTATTTTCCTTCTTAATCATAATAGATCTTTCAGAAGGAATAGAGAGAAAGAGAGAGATTTTATCTTTTTGATGTTCATATTTCGGTCTTCGATCGAATCTTATCTTTCGCTAGGCGAATTCTGTTTTCGTTAGGCGAGTTTTTTGTTGTGTTTTCAAACCAATCGGATGTTGTTCTTCTATTTTCTATCTTCATCTCCGATTTCTGGTTTGATGAAATAAAGGTCCGATTTTATGATCGGAATCAAGTCTTGTTTCTCTTCTCTTTTTTATTTATTTTGTATTCTGTTTGATCTAAGAAGTCTAGTGCTCTCATCGCTAGTTATGCTCTGTCTTATCATCAAACGGGAATCAATCTTCGCTTCAGACTAAAGTGAAGTCTCCTTATAGGTGATGAACAAAGATTATTGATGAAGTAAATGGAGTTAGTGCAGGTTCAGATAAATTGGAGTTTCTTCAAGAAGCGTTCCAATAAGACTCTGTAACTTCCTCTACTAAAGCTTCTCACATGACTTCACATCTGGTGGCGTGAATACGAGCTTCTTTGGATTGACGGTGATGAAGAGAAGAAGAAACATACAAGCAAATCGATCTGATAGGGAGGGAGGCCGGTGGTTCTTAGTCCGACATGAGCCGGTGGTGGCATCGGTGTCGTCTCTTCCTGTTTCCAGAAAATTCGAAGCCTTCATTGCCGACACGTGTGCCCTTCATGCAGAATATTCTTATCTTAAGTACTTGGGCTTGTAAAATCGAATTTGGGCTTCGTTTGGATTTCACTCTTTTGTAATAGGAATGGATTCGATTATGCTTGTAAATTAGCCTCATGGCCCATTATGCTTAATGAAAGCACTAGTTGTTCTTCACCACGACAATTCCACAAAGATGCTAATTGCTTCCTTTGAGTACTTTGCGTACTAAATTCTACAAAGATGTTAACTTCAAGGATTAGTGTTATAAACAGCAAAAAAGGACGAAAAATAGGAAAACATGTGCAGTGCAATTACTCGAACTCGGGTTACTAATAAAGGTTTTAGACATATAAACCACTGAACCAAGTTATCATATTGTCATCTAATAAAAAAAAGGTAGTATATAATAGGTTATATATACCAAATATGAAACTTAAACACGTTCATGGCAAAAAATATTAAAAAAGGAAACAAAAATATTTAGAGAATATTTACTAACAATTATTCTTT